AATTAAACTACTGAGGTTTATCTTGTGATGCATATTGCACGCACGCACACACACATGTACAATACAATTTTAAAATGCTTCACAGTCAAAAAGAACCATTGTGATCATCAGCTCACCTCCCAAATAACACAGGCCATAGACCATCCCCAAAATAATTCCTAGAGCATATTGTGACAGGATTCTCCACTCTTCGCAGTGGCACCTCCTGCTATCCATCCTGGGGATTAGCTTTGCCAGCTGGTATGGCCCCTTCATGTATCATCTCTCCCCTTATCTTCTCACTATGCAGTCCTGACTCAACCCTCTAGAACTGTAGCACCCTCTTTGTGACCCAGTTCCCAAGCCAGGTCACCATCCATAGTCATAGGTGTTGGAACTGCTTCATTCCATGACTTGGAGAGGTTTCCATTATACAGCCAGGTTTACAGTTTGGTAAAAGGCTCTCAGCACCCCCACTATACAAATTGTCCCAGTGTCTCTATCCCCCCACCCCTGTCCCATCTAGGGTTTAACCAAAGTCTTTCTACACAAACATTCCCAGGCATTCTTTTTCCTATGCTGCCCTGGCGATGCCACTTCCCCATTGGCTCGTAAGGGAACCCGTCTCACCCACTATTCTGTATTTGAGTTCAAAGACCCTCAGCTCAGCAGTTCTGGGCTCTTCTCTCTCACTCCTCCCTGCTTGTTCCCTGGTCTTCTTCCCGTTCTTCCTGCCCACTTCCAGATATATCAGTTCCAAATTCATTCCCCCTTCCACTTCCCAAGGAGTGGCTGCTTTCCTGCAGCCTTTCTTGGCAGCCCAATTAGCTGATTGGGCCTACCTGGCCTAACTCTGCTCTTGTGGGGCTAGTGCAGGGCATACACCCCATCTCACTTATCTTTTAGGAACACTTCCAATCTTGATTTTAAAATAGTTGGTGATGAAGAGTCCATCGCAACCTTTGGTAGATTATTTCAAAGGCTAATTAATCGCATGGATAAAATATTGCAGCTTGTGTCCAGTGAAATTCAAGCCATTGGTTCATTTTGTGCCTTTCTTTGCTGGAGAAAATGAGCTCTTATGGAAAATGGGAGGTGCTGTACTCTTTTATGGAGAGAAGTTATTTGGCCATGCACAACAGGAAAAGCCACAAATGCTGTCATGCACAGAGAACACATATTCAAGTTGCTAAAATAGCAACAGTACAGACTCTCACTTGCTAAAGGTACAGAACCAAGAGGTCTAATCATGCATTCCTTACACATGTAGGAATCTCATTATAGTCAGTGAGTGCTGTGGGCATGCAAGGAATGCAGACTCATGATAGATAAAAAAGATGAGATAACAGCTGTCTGGTGGGTGTGTATGTTATAATCTCAAGATATAATAATAGTATTGTTATAATTTCAAGGTACAATTTTCATTTCTGCACAGAATACATACAAGAAAGGGAAAAGTGAAACATCATAGATGTATTTTCTCCCTGTTAGACAACAGGAAATGTGCAAATCGGTGGAAGGGTGAAATCTGATGTAGTAATGATGTTGGGGTCACTCAGAAAATAAAAAGATGTGATATAAAAAGAAAAGTGTCTAACATATATTATTGATAGAAAATGATTTAAAGTCACGTTCTACATTTGTCAAATGATTCCAGTCATTATTCCAATATTCTAGGCAGAAATCTACAAATGATGAACAAATTATATACTAGAAGAGCTCAACACTGCTAAAACTACAAAGGATTTTGTAACACAAACACTTTGTTCACTGAAATTTGGGATGTCAATATACACTGCGCTAGCCTAGAGGGACCACATTTTCCTATGCTGAATATGGGACAAATAAGGGGATTGGGCTGTGACACCTGGGCTTTAGCCCAAAGAGTATGTGTGTGGTGGGGGGGGAGGCGGCTGGTCTTGAGGCTTCAGCCCAAAAGAGGGGAGACCCGGCACTCAGGGCTTCATCCCCACAGTGTATGGGGAGTCATTGGTGCTTGGCCCCCGCCCCCCAGGGGGGGGGGGGGGGAAGAGGAGCCACCAGTATTTGGAGCTCTAGCAGCTGAAGCTCTGAGTGCCGGCAGCTCCTCACCCAGCCTGTGCCACTGCAGGGATGAAGTTCAGCCCCACAGCACGCAGGGTGGGGAGAGAAGGGGAGCTGTTGGTGCTTGGGGCTTCAGTGGCTGAAGCCCTGAGTGCTGGGGACTCCTCTTCCCTCCTCCCGCTGCAGGGAAAATACAGGACAATGTGCTCACTTTTTAAAAACTGTCAGGACACTGGGAAAAGATCTTAAATAAGGGCCTGATGGTCACCCTACGTTAGCCTCCTGTGCACTCAGTGTCCATATTTCTCTAGTACCTTTTAATCTACCTTGCTCTGAAATGGGAATAGAGTTAAAACACATGGGGTAACTTTTAGGGCATGGTAGGAAAGATAACATGGATATTTAGTGTTCCTTGATAGATCCTTGCAAGGAAACAAATATCCGTGCAACTGTACCTCCCTGCTGCCAGCCATATCTCCTATCTTGGGTCATACAGTCTTCTGGCAGCAATGTTGTGAGGGGTGGTATATGCTCCTCTCAGTTTGAAAACAAATGTCTACCCATGGATGTGGATACCTGTGGACAGACCTCAGTATCTGCTGATTCACAGAGCTGTACTCCCAAAATATGCTGTGGCCGACTGAGAGAAGCATGTGCCACCCCTCAATCTTGCCACTACTAGACTGTATGACCCAAGACAGGCATTCCAGCTGGTGGCAGGGCAGTTCAGCTGCATGGCCAGGAGGTGCTTCTGGAACCTGGCTCCTGGGAGCAATGGGACAATGCTTCTCTCCATTGGCCACAGTCTGTCCTGGCAGTAGAGCCCTGTGGACCAGTGAATGACAGTGTCTATCCATGGATATCTGCATCCATGGGCAGACGTGTGTCTGTGCAGGGCTCTATTCATTGAGCTAGTGTGGGGTACCTTGGCACTCTAGTTTCCTGCAAACTAAATGTTTGTGTAAACAAGTCCTTAGTATCATTATTCCAATTTTTTAAATTGGGAATCTGCAGTCAATAGGATGTAGAATAAGTGAGGCTCTTGGTTCAGGAAAGAATGTAAATGTGTGTCAAGTTAAACATCTGCTTAAGTGCCTTCCTGAATAAGGATGGCTTCTGAATTGGAGCTGTACCAAACAGGAACACAAATGAGGGGAAATCAATCATCTGGAAAAGTGCAGCTTGGATTTACTACTTCTTTCACATTACTGATTTCTATTCCTCCTGTCTCTGAATCTTGCAGGCTTTTGATAGGAGAGATATGACTGTGGGACCTCAGGGCATGGCCTTGTCTAGGGATGGGTGGTGAGACTTCTCAAAGCACTGAATAATACATATGCACATGCAACACAGACTAAGTGCATAGTCTAGCTGAGATGCTTAAGAATGAAACAAAAAATGAACAGCTGCTTTCCTTTATATTTCACCTTTATGTCCATGACTGCTTGTCTTTCGTCCAGTGTGTCAGTCAAAGTCAGGAAAATTTTCTCCTGCTCACTGAATTTTGCAATAAAAATAAAATGATTAAACTGTAAAATCAGTGAATTACATGTTTAAAAGTTTTGAATACATACATACTCTATATTAAGTAATATTTATTTTGATCACAGGCTGTCTGTTTAATCAGTATAACTCACCAAGACTTATTGAGAATCTTCCTCTCTATTTACTTCTGTGAGGAAAAAAAAAAAGAAAAAAGAGGAGTGATTGTAGGTGGTGTAGTGTTTTTCTTAATTGGAATACCACGGTTCCTCTGTGATTTTTGCTCTTAAATTTAACATAGGGCATGGGACTAAACAGATATTATTCTTAAGAAAAATGTTGCTTAGGATGATACTGTTGTCCATACCAAAATCTGGTCTTTCTCCATAAGCTATCTCCACATCACTTGCGGTGGCCCATAGTGTCCTTATAGCCACATGCTTTAGTGAAAAGCAGCTTGTGCCTACATTGTGGTGGTTAGCTAAATGTGTCAGTGAAAGCTCTTCCAGAAGAGAGGCAGCTGAGAAAAACTTAAGCAACTCCCTACTGCCAGACCCTTTCACCAGAGGAGAAGAGGGGGCAGGGAGAACAGGGAAAGGCTCCCACTCACCAGAGCCTCTCTCTGTTTTAGGTGTGTTTTCCTGCGGTTAGAAAACACTTGATGAGTAGAGAAGCCACAGTGCACTATGCTCCTAAAAACAGCAGAGTAGATATAGTGGCATAACTTTGGTGAGCGGAAAGTCATGCAGATATGCACTCAAACATATACCCCCAGTTTTCAGGTGTCTTTTTATTGTAAGCCTGTGCCTCATGTTTGATCTACACTATATATACCACTAGGAGGCTACACACATATGTACTATGCACACCATCAAAAGATATATGCAGCATAGGAGCTGGAACTAACAGTGCGGGGGAGGGGAGGATGTAGTATTCCCAGGCTTGAAGTGGTTCCCATTATATAGGTTTACTGTTTGGTTGAATAGCTCTCAGCACCCCCGCTATGCAAATTGTTCGAGTGCCCCTTGGATGCACATACCGGATGGCATGCTGACTGAGTCCTCTACATAGGTTAAGGTTAAAATACATTTATATTTGGGCAAAACGAAAAATGATGCTAGGTTAAACATGAAACAAATCTAAAATGGGACTATTAAGGATTAAATGAGAAGTAAACACCTTTGTTAAGAGCACTATCCGCAGCATGACTATCTAGGAAGACCAAGAGAAACAGAAGTCAAAAGCAAGGTCTAGAAGAGTGAGGATAATCCATTCAGTACCAAAGCCTATAGGGAGTGATTGTGCACAAGGAACACCAGTGTCAGTCTTAGCAGTGTAAGTGAAGGAGAAGAGGCTTGTTGCTCACATGCATTAAATAACCTGGGGATAAGTAGCAGGGATGAGAGACTAGCCAGGCCCCTGGGCAATGTGTGGGAAGCCCAGCTCCGCACTCCTGGAAGGGGCGGGACCTTGGGTAGAAAGGGCGGGGCTGGGGCATTCAGCACTGCCCAGAGTGGGCCATGCCGCCTCCCCACCCCCAAGAAGCCTTCAGAGCCACTCAAAGTATGCAGTGGTGGCACTCCAGTGGCAATTTAAAGGGACTGGGGAAATTGCCCTGTTTGGCCCCTCCCATCAGTGAGTCTGGGGATAAGAGAGTTGAGGGCTGGGAGGACATCCTGGCTACGTCTAGACTGGCATGATTTTCCGCAAATGCTTTTAACGGAAAAGTTTTCTGTTAAAAGCATTTGCAGAAAAGAGCATCTAGATTGGCACGGATGCTTTTCCGCAAAAGCACTTTTTGCGGAAAAGCATCCATGCCAATCTAGATGCGCTTTTACGCAAGAAAGCCCCCATCGCCATTTTATAAAAGCTTTGCGCAAAAGGACTTTTGCCCAAACGGGAGCAGCATAGTATTTCTGCAAGAAGCACTGATTTCAGACAGTAGGAAGTCAGTGTTCTTGCAGAAATTCAAGTGGCCAGTGTAGACAGCTGGCAAGTTTTTCCGCAAGAAAAACCTGCCAGTCTAGACACAGTCCCTGAGTGCTCTTCAGATGCATACAGCATGACAGTGGCCTTATCTAGAGTAGGATTTCAAGTCATATCAGACTGAGTTACCTATTCCAATCTAAAAAATCTCTACGAAAATGCTAATCAGGACAAAACAATTGTACTTTAATGCATGCTAACCTGATTGTGGTACAATTTATGGAGAAGGAGCACCTGCTAAATTTCCTAAAACCAACTTTAAAGGTGTTAAACTGGGTCTACATAAGTGATAGGTGGGGTTTCCAATACAATTCAACAAGATCAATTCAAAACGGACAAGTTGAGCTAGCTTGGTTTTTTTAAAAAAGCAACTTTCCCTTCTTACCTTAACAAGGCCTATATTATTATTATTATGCAGTTTCAACACAGTTGTGGGAGGCCCATCCCTCCTGATTTTTCCAACCATGTTTCCCATGACTGTATTTAAACTGAGTTTTTAAACTGTTTCCAGTCTGGTACAAAGCAGGTTTTATAATGAGATGGTCCTGAACATTTTGCCAAAATGAAAAAAAAATAAAGTAACTTCTTCCTTACATATCTCCACTTCCTCTCTGGTTGCACAAATAAAAGAAATTATACTTCAAAAGTCTAAGGGTACGTCTAAACTACATGGCTCCATCGACGGAGCCATGTAGATTTGTTTTTTTGGCAAAGGCAAATGAAGCCACAATTTAAATGACTGCGGCTTCATTTAAATTTACATGGCTGCCGCGCTGAACCAACAAACAGCTGATTAGCTGTTTGTCGGCTCAGCGCGCTAGTCTGGACGCTCCCCTGCTGACATCAAAGCCCTTTGTCGGCACCCCTGTAAACCTCATCCCACAAGGAATAAC